AAGAATTTACATTTTTAATATATTATTTAATAGAATTATAAGCTTTTAAAAAGTGTAAGTTTTGGTGTAAAAGTGGGCGTTTTTCGGAATTACTGCGAACCCACTGTACATAGGGTGACAGGGGCCTCAAACCCAGAATGTCACCTGCACATCGTGTGGTACTGTGGTATCGGCGCATCAATGTTTCCTACAATAGACGACCAGTCAGTCCCCTGTCCTCTGGCTTGCCCTGCCCTCTGGGGTACCTTTCCATCCCTCAGCGTTTCCACTCATTTGCTGGCTACGGCACATCGTATTCGATGAGAGTCGAGGGCTTACAGGTCCCTGAGCTATCCATGGGGACACACGCGGAATATCGAAGTCGGTAATGCCGCTCTGAAAACTGCCATCCGAATGCTCAGTACAGTATTTAGGTATCCTGGTAATGGAATTGATTCCACGTATGTGCGGGTGCACGTCCAGGGCATTGAATACTGACAAAACTTGTGGATATGTACACCTGGAGGTGCGTGAAAGGAAAGAAGACTGTAGCTGGCAAATGCACGGTATGCAAACGTGCATGAGAGAAGAAAATATGTGCCTTAGTGCAAGTATGCATATTGCGCACACCGCAACCTCGCGAGCGTGCGTAGAGTTGTTCCGGAACCTTCCCCGGGCAAGGGCGACAGACGCTCTATCCCCAACAACAAACTCCAAATACTACCGGACCCATTGTGTATATATATATATAGTATACATTTTTTTTTTTTTTTAAATACGCAACATATCAGACTTAGTTTTCTCTTTGCTTCTGCATTCACGCACCCACCTGTCGAATAGTATTCACCCATCTATCACACTGTGGCGGGCGTCGCTCTGGGCGGTGACCCCATCCGTTCACATCACTCGGGCTTTGCAAGTAGCTACTATCTGTGATAATCGGCACGCGGCATACGAAAATGGTTTCACGAATAATGTTCGGTCTCTATGAGGAGGCTTTTGTCATATCCCGTCGTGTAAAATATGCAATGCGATCAGTCGGTCAAGACTATGGCCAGGATTAGGTGGCTTGTCAACAGCTTGCTGCATGTTACGTACCCCATACTCGTGGTATACTATTAAGCCGTACGTCCAAGTGCTCTGTAACCATGCATGGTTCTCGTTCCTGAAGCGACTCAAGGAATTGACTCGTCAGTTCCGGATTGTTGCGAGAACAAAATTGCACTCGCAATCATGATTATCCGGCTGGGTGATCATCCCCCCGCCAAATCCGAGTCCCGGCCTCGGTAAGCAATTGGCACCTCTCGGGCTGAGATATCTGCGAACATTGTACTCCGTAGTGACCATGCCATGCAGCCTTGGCTATCAAGACTTGATTTCGCAACACTCAACTTTGAAAAGAGTACTCTGCAATGCCCTCCATGGACCCTTTTCAAGCCCCATTCTAAACTTCGTAGGCCGATTAAGTGCCATAGGAGCATTGTAAGAGAACCAAATTGATCTGCGATGATGGCGTGCAACCCTCGGGATATAATGGGCAGCCAGAGCAGCTCTCTGAGATGCGAGATATTGATCCAACATCAGTCGTACAAATGCCCAGCCCGCAATGCACGATATGGAATAGGAAACGTTTCTATAGAAAGAACAAGGCTTTTCTATCCAGCCTTGATGTGCTACTCATTGCGTCCGGGAGTGGCGCCAGGCAATGGCTTTAGTAACCTTGCGCACCTAGACATAGGTGACGAGTGGGCGAGAAATCGCCTTAGTATGAATGTCCTTTATCTGTAAAGAGTACGTTACTTCGAGAGTGGGCTCAGAATTGAAGTTGTTATCAATGCCACCAACTCTCCTCATCGCCTGTGGTGAGTAGCCAAATGTACCCATTGTTTCATGTCGTTGACGTTATCCAAGTACGAAACGTATGGCGCCGTCGTATATACACGTCGGTCATATTTGCACGCCAAGTGAGTCGTGTTTCGGCATTTGGAATACTCGAGGGCATGAACGACTACTACTCTAATTCAAGGGTGGCCACTCCGCTGAAGCTTAGCTAGTAAAGGACAAGGATTGTTTTTTATGCATGTGCATGATTCGGCATGGTAACTGCACTGGTCTTTGGTGTGGGCACTACTCTGGACCTTTGGATAGGCTCTGGATTCGAGGCTTCGTAATCCATGTCTAGCAGGGCGTACCAGGCATAATGGTGTTATTAGGCTACGCTAGCTCTCGGCCCGGCCCTGTTCGGAACCGTATTCTATTCATGACTTCAATGCAGCTATCGTTAAGGCGTGGCTGTGCTCCGCCTGCTATTGGAAAGATCATCATGCCCTTCTACTTGGGTGTCGGTCGTGGAACACGAGGCTGCCCTGGTAGTTTAATAGTCTCTGATGTGAAGCAGACGTTGACCTAATCGAGGTGGTTTCGAAAGGGAAAAGGATCTCTATATTGAAGACTTGTTATCGAATCCTGAGTGGGCGAATATTTGACAATAAATTATGTATCATGTTTCGCCTAGCAGTTCTAAGATAACGGACGTGCGTGTGCGAGACGTTGGCTCATGCAGTCTTCTCTCCAAGCTGGATTCACTCCGGGTGTCCACGTTAGTGGTACGATTTATTTGCGTACAAATTGATCGGTTGACCATGTGCACCGGCCCACTGCTAGTCCTGGATATCTCAGTGGCCACATCTGGTACACAGCAGTTGACAGGCTTCGCTGGTCACCAAAGACAGGTTCACTGGGTAATGGTCACGAGTGGAAACTGCCATCGGACAGTATCGAATCAGGCCCCTACTTAGTTCCGGCTCCTTTCGCTTGCCACGATAGATAGGATCATGACACAACACTGCCGTATTGCACGCTCAATTGTAAAGTTCGCCAGCAGCTCTTGATCCAGGGTTTCATCCCCGGTCACGGTTCAGCATTATCCAAATGCCAGTGTAGGAGCATGTATGAGACGGAAGTTGCGCTGGAACGCCCAGATGCAATTCCGCCACGGCACGATTATGGCGATTGTATGAGGCGCACGCTCCGCTGACAGGGAAGCATCGTGGTACGGCCGTTCCAATCCTGTCGTATGTAAGAAACAACGGCTTGATGCAGTGGCTAGCAAGATGATGCCATAGCGCCATATTATTAAATGCGGGTGTCAGAGAGGAGACGAGTTGATAAAGTAGCATTGCCGCTCTTTACTGAGTTTTGCTGTTAGCCCCTTGTACTTCGCTTGGAGCACTCTGAAGCTTTGTGACCAAGTTGTTGGCAATTGTAGCACTTTGTTGCCTTTGTGCTTGCGGATCCTTGAGAATTAAAATGTCCATCGCCTGCAGAAGAGATAGAAGTCAGCTTATTTAAGCGAACTTCCTTCTTTTTTCTCTTATCGCGAAATTCCTTCGCCTTGGAAGCTCGATGGCTTTGTCGTGACTGCGACTGTGACCGAGATCGGGAGGGTGTCATTCTCTTGTTTTCGTCCGACGATCCAGTCCTGTGATTTCGGCCAATGGAGTCGCTTTCGTCATCCGAAGTTCGACTTGACTCGTCGCCAGACTTGTCGGAGTTACCGCGCCCTGTTGACTGATTGCGCCTTGTTAGTAGACCCATTTGCAATGTGAAATCTAGTTCGTTCTCTTCGGCGATTTTGAAACTATAAACACACCTGTTCTGTCTTCAAAGGTTTATGATAAGTTCTTCCCTCGGCAGGATTGTCCTCATTTTCATCGGAATCTTTGGACGCGTCGATGTCGCCATATCCCACGTAAACAATATTCAGAGGATGTGACTGCCTCTTGCCATGGGACTTGTCAATATTAGTTTTCAAGACCCAGTGAGTGTCAGCAGCAGAATGCTTTGCTAGCGCTGCTTGACGTGTGGCTTCTTGATCATCGAGAGCTGCTTGTATCAAAGCGTGGTCAATGTTAGGATTGATGCGGCCAGGTGCTGGAGAATGATCTAATTTTCGCTTTTTGGACGAAGAAACGTCTGAGCCAGAAGATCCGTTAGACGGAGCAGATGCAGCTGCACGCTGCATAAACTTCATCGTCAAGAGTCTTGACGAGACGCCTTTAGGTGTTTCTGGAGCCATTTTGTGAGTGTCGCATGAAAAGGTACAAAATAGCAATTCGACGTCAGCGAATGGGGTCTTGAATTCTTCCTAAGGTCGCTTAAACCAAAAAAAGGAGCAGAACAATGAAATGTCGATGCAGACCGGCAAATTATTTATTTCTTTAGGTTGGGTAGAAGAGAGAGTCTGCCTAAACATGGCACTTGGGCAATGAGCTTTTCAGGGCGCAAGCTTCACCCAGGAACTTTTTTGAAAGCTCCCGGAAGAATGATTATTCCGGCACATCGTCTTGAAGGTGGATCGAGTTACTCCCGACATCACGCCCGGAATATGCTTCTAATGCAGACCTGTAACCGACAACACTGCTGATTTCGACCTCGGAACTATGGCATACTCTCAATTGAGATCAATTGGCGCGTTCGCACGCCAATTGCGTTTTGCCCGACGTGCATTTACCACCACCACTCGCCAACTCGAGGCTTCCATGCCTGCAACTTCCAGAACCAAGACTGCTCTAGCTGAAGAGACTCAAACCACGCCTATCGGACAGGCCCCAAACCGTGTCGATATTTGGTCTCGCAGCCAGAAGCCCCGGTCGAATGCTATGACTGGTCCCCGTTTTGAACAGACCGACTTTGATCTCCAGGTGAGCGGCCATGCTTGTTTTATCTCACCATTGTAATGCTAAATGACGGGCAGCCTCAACCTCTGTCGGCTATGGAAATGATACACAAGGAGCCCGTGCGGTGGACACATGATCGCATCGTAGCCTGTGATGGCGGCGGCGGCCCTGCCGGCCACCCTAGAATTTTCATCAACACCGACAAACCTGAAATCGCGACCTGCAACTACTGCGGTGTTCCCTATGTATGCCACCCAGAACCGTTTCGTATATGCCAAAGGAATCTAACTGAGGAAAACTTAGGCAAATGAGCACCATCGAAAGCACCTAGAGTCCCTCCCCAAGACGTCGTATCCTTTGTCATGATTGCGTCCATTCAGCGCGCCGTGGAGAGGTGAACAGGGCGCCTGGGTTCTTTGACAATGTGCAGTATAAGATATGAGCAAAAGGACTGGTTGGAGAGCCGCCGTATTACTTTGCATGCAACCATGCCGGTGACGGAGGCTCAATGTATATATATCTCCACGAATAGATGTGTGGTTAGCTGGTACCTGACCAGCGTCCCTTCAGCTGTGACACAAAGCCACGACCACTGCTATCCACAACTTGTATAATGTCATCTGTACAGTCGCCATGGTATGTGCTACTTCGACTACGATTCTCGCGCAACGGGGTTATACACTGGGACATCTTTTCCCCTCGTGCTCCCCTGGACTAGCACAGGCGATTGTAATGATGCATTATATAGAAGGAGAAATTGAATTTCAGTATGCAAGCACTTCAAACGTTACTGTATGGAAGCTGCCCTGCTACTCGCTTCGGGTTTTAATGTGGTCCTCAAAGAGACGATTATGAAGATTAAACATATTATTCGCAGTCCACTGACTCTTCCTCTCATTGCGCCCCACCTACCGTCAAACATTCAGTCAACGAGCAACCCAAATGACCATATGGAAGGGTCTCCCAAACTTCACCCAGAGGATTTTACCATTCCGTTTCAGAGTTATCTTGCTCGTTTATCATCAACTGTGCTCGGCCTAGTAGTGAAGACGTTGCCCTGTATTAAGCGCTGCGACAAACGACTAACACATAAGAGTCAACCAGATTCGAAAGTCAATGGAGGCTCTAGCTCGGTTAGCGTAACCGGCGCGGCGCATATAGGGGCCACGTAAAGATCCAGAGACGGCTTCCCATTGACGTATGGAATTGCCCACCGGAGTTTAAGCTGGCCAACTGGAAGCTGGTCCCCGTCTTTGTCGCGAGAGCTGGGGGAAGCGGTTTAGCAAGGCGACTACTCCGTACTTGAAGAGATAGTTGACGGCGCTGCTTTTAGTTCAGCACGTTGGCGATGGTAACGCTTACACTTGTTAGGTAGTCAACGACGTCGACCCACGGGAGCCAGCCAGTTACGACCGGATCACGTGCAGGGCCTCTCTAGGCGTGCCCAAAGAACCCCAAGCGTAAAATTTTTGAAAATTATCAAGATAATTTCAAATTATATTTAATAAAAAATTAAAACAAAACTTTTACTTCTAAAAACTCTAATAAAATAAAACCGCTACCAATTCATTTTTACCTGGTTCCAGTCTAGTTCACGGAATACTCAAAAAGATAGTAGAATATTTTATTGACCCAAAGGGTGACCTTGACACACCAGCTATATACACTAACTGGCCCCTAACAAGCCCTTATCGCGTGTGACGGCTGCAACGTCGAGATGACGCAGCACACATCTCAACACATATCTCTCACCACAACCATTGTGCTCATCCTAGTCCTCTTACTCGCATTCTTCCCGAACTTGTTCCACAGCATCTGGACCCTTCCATTTACCTTGATCCCGTTCTTCCACCCCTCATCGAAGGGATATACCGGAACCGGAACAATGACCTGGTTCCAGAAGCAGTTCACTCTCCCCGCAAAGTCTCGCGGCTCCTATCTCATCACCGACCAGGTCGTGTCTAATCTTCCCGAGATTCGGAACTACAGGGTTGGCTTGCTTAATTTGTTTGTCCAGCATACCAGCTGCGCGTTGAGCTTGAACGAGAACTGTACGTGAGGTTGTACCGGACCCTTCTGGGGGCGACTTTTCGCTTCAAAGCATCGTTCTGTCGCTTTGTGCAAGGTTTGAAGCTGATTTCGATACAAGGGGACGAGGACGTGAGGGCAGATATGAGCGATGCGCTTGATCGCATTGCGCCGGCTGAGGGGCCTAAAGGCGAGGCATTGTATCGCCATGAGTAAGTCCAGGCTTTGCGGCTCTTGGCACAAGATTACGTCTGATGCGTTTGGATTGTAGCGCCGAGGGTCCTGACGACATGCCTGTAAGGAATTGGATTTGCAGAGACCACATTTAGCAGTCCTGGAGACTAACGTGCCTTCAACAGGCTCACATCAAGTCGGCACTGATCGGAGCCAGCGTGACCATCCCGATCAAAGATGGAAAGCTTGTATGTTAAATCGCGATGAAAATGCGCCCAAGCATTCTTTATTATTATGCTGACATGTCCAAAGGCTACCGGCACCTGGCAAGGTATCTGGTATCTCGAGTTCCGGGCCAGCAAGCATCAGCGTCGGGTTATGGCTACCATTCAGGGGGAAAAGTCATAGGGAAATGAATTAAATCAATGGCTGGATTAAATGCAAGAAGGAGTCACGGTGTTTTAACACACAGTCTCCATTGTCTATGATACAACAGTTGTAGTAGCCATTACGCCGAACGCCGTCGCCTTTTGCTTATTCCAACGCACCGTAACCATCACCTAAATTGTACCATTCTCTTCCTTCATTTCCATGTCTTCGCCAGCCAAGACTTTTGTCTTGGGTGCGTAGCCCTCTGGAGGACCAGCACCAGGTGTCATAGCCACAACATTGCCATCTTCGTCAACAAATTCAAAATTGTAGCGGCTAAGAAGATGCGGAATTGCTGAGAGTTGTGGTCCATATCGAGCAGTGTTATCGTAGAGCTCAAAAAGCGGTACTGCAAGGAGCTTCATATTCTTTGGTACGCTCAACACTTCTATCAGATTAGGCGGATTAGTAGTGGACGTTTTGGATTCAGCAGGACGTTTCTTGGGACATACTTGTTTTGGGCAAGTGAATGAAGTAGAGTTTCTTGCATTCCTTTGGCCGTGTGACATGGGCGGGAACAAAGGGATACATGAAGGTCTCGAAGTTTGGTCGCCACCACTGCGCGAGGCAGTCACCAACTTCCCAGTCCCCAGCCTCTTCGCCTTCACCTATCCGACCAACAGGGGCCAATCTTTCGTCTAATCTAGCCTTGAAGCCTGCTTCCTCATCATCTTCGGGCCGAAGATAGTCTCCAGGGAGCTTGAAAAAGGCGTTTGCGATCTGAAGCATCAAAATATGCGGGTGGTTGTGCTCGTGACACACGAGGATGCCCTCACATGTACGACGCATGCCATGCTCAGCAAAATGCTCCTCGAGGCGCTTGAGTCTTGCAATTACAGAGGGGTCTTCTTCAGGTTGCGTCTCCTTGACACCGAACGTATAGTTTGATAAAGGGTAGAGTGTGACCTTGTCTGGTTGCTTCGAGTTGAAATCAAGCGGTATGATGGGTGGATAGGCAGACTGCTGCGCAGAGGGCGGTATTGTTGACATTTTCGAGACAATTCGATCGAGTCGGTGGCGTGTTCCAGTTTTCTCTGAAATTGAGGTATTGATGTGTGCGCAACGTTATGTGGTTATGGGCTTTCACAGTTTTGTGGGCAAGAGTGTAATTTGGCGGTTTGCTTGCTGAGCTTCATGAATGTAAGCTTCAGGGCCGCCTCGTACCTGGCAGAAGGCGTTGCTTGCGACGGCAACGACGAGGTGGTTGTAAAAGGAAGGCGGTGTGAGGAGGGACTCAGTCCATGCTACGGGTGGACCGAGTCGCTGGCGATCCAGTTCAGAACACCCCAAGTACCTAGGTAGTATGTACAGTGGGTCTCCAGTAATTCCGAAAAAAAACCCACCAAAATCGCGTATCAACCCACAACGCGTCCATTACAATAATATACCTTCTATCTTTAAGACATAATTACTACCGCTATAATGCCTCAGGTAACTTAAAATAAGAATTAAAGTCCTTATAAGAGGGGTAAGGTTTATAAAATGTACTCTTTAAGTATTTCTATTAACCGCATTACTAAAGAGAAGAAGATTTCTGCTAGTAGCGTACACGGTATCGCGAAACGGTATAAGTAGTAAATTAAGGGTTAAGATTTACCACGCTTTAAATAGCTCTTAAAGCTTATAGATCGTAAAAAAAGATATATTATATGAATTATTAGTTAAAACCCTTTTATTTAAAACTAAGATCTTCTTTATTAGGCTAACCTATTATATAATATTATAACTTTAACGCGTTACCTTAAATTAATAGGTATTTAAGATAAGCGCGCACTTTAACGGCTAAAATTAACATTAAAAAATGTAAAAAGACGCCTAAGATTTGCTTTATAATATTATTAAAAGTTAATTATATAATAGCGTTAAGTTTTTTTTTCTAATAAAGTCTTAATCGCAACTTTTAACAGTTAAAAGGTATAATAGTATTTTTTAAGGCGTGTAAGCTATAATAGCTCTTTAAAGAATCTATAATAACTCTAAAATTAATTTATTTTAAGGTGAGAGACTTAATTAAAATAAAGTATAATTAAAGCTACGTGGAACATGTTAATTACTAATATTTTAGGGTGTATTTAACGCATTTAATCGCTTATTATTATATGCTCTTTTTAAAGATAATAACTTACCTTAGCGTAATGTAACTTCTTAAATAATACTTAATACCTTATAATTAAAGCTACCTATAATTTTAAAGCCTAAGAATACCTTTATATAAGATAATACTCTTATATATTTAAGTTAATTAGTGTAAAATTAGCTGCGTAATTAGACTATAAAAAATAGGGTTAAATTAATAAAGTAGCCGCTATATTTACCTAACCTTAACTCTATTAAAAACCTTTAAAAATTATTAAAATAAAAAATAATTAAGTACCACCTTAAGCTAGCAGATATAAGGAATAATATCACCTTATTTTTAAGGCTTAAAATAGCTGCTATAAAGGTCTAAAAAGGTTTTAGTTAAGAGCTACTATAAAAGCTAATTAATATAATACCCTATTAAATTAAAGCTATTATACACGTAAACGGCTGGTATATTAAGTACTAGTTATATTAATTAATATAGAATTAATTAGATTTTTTACTGTTTACATAAAAATACAATTACTATTTAATTAGCCGAGAAATCGCGGTTTAAATATTTGCTATGTAACGCGGGTACATAGGGTCTGTTTTAGGTTTTTCGGAATTACCGTTACCCACTATACGTTGACTTATCTACCCACCTACGCGCGCGGCCCCTAGTTCTGGTAACAGCATAACTAATACAAGACAGGTCCTAAATTATCGCTAGCTATTAGAAGTCTCATATATGAAGTAAAAAATTCTGATTAGCTGTCTTGTGATAGATGATAGCCAGAGAATAGTTACCAGAAAACCCCTTAGCGCGCCAAGGTAGAGGTACTTTAAGTGCTAGCACGTAGTAGGTACTGTAGGCCTATACCAGTTGTTAGTTGTTGGAGAATCACGATCACCAAGTAAAGACTCCATAGGCCGTAACGTATTACGGATTTTAGTGCCGATTCTGCAATGTCCAGGCGCTTCATAGATGTATTGCTTGTCATTCCAGCTGCATTTGTGATACAAATAATTAACAACACTCACCATCGATACAAAGGGGTGGGCACGCATACTGCTGCAAACAAGTCAGCAGATGTCCGGATTAAAAAAGCTCGATGCAGCGCGACCCTGCTTGGATATTTTCAAGCAATGCCGTGTCTCCGTTGATCAGTACTAACTTGAAGGCTCCCTCTGAGATGGTGGAGCACGTGAATCATCTTTGTTCATCCCATTACTCGCATTGTTCAGTTTGGGCTGTGCAGACGTCACATGCATCTCAACGGCACCAGACCCGAACAACCATTCGTACTCGACGACAATGGCCCAGTCTCGGCTGAAATTGCGGATATTGTGTAGCTGGCTTCTCGGGGGCTGTGGAATGGTGGAATAGCCAGTGCTGCTGTGGCGCGAGAGCATGCATCACCCGTCGTCGCGCTGCATATACATGTAGGGAGCAACCGACTTGGCATGGGACAGGGTTCAATGTTGCGACCATTTCACCCGAATGGCTCCGGCAGGAGTACTGGAATAAAGAGAAAAACTTGCCGTTGTCGTGATGAGTAAGGCTGAGCCGTGTCGAGCAAACCAGCTGCAGGAAAATCGTCATGATAATAGTCCTAGGTACCTACTTAGGTAGATTAGAGGCGGCCCATGTCTGGCAGTATGCTTGGGAGCTGCATACTTAAGTACTTCGGCAGAGAGACTTGGGTGGGAGGTTCAGTCTTTGTCCAGAAGCAGTGCATGGTGCACATGGGGCCGGCTGTTCAGTGGGCGTACTCCGTACTCCGTACCTGGGCAATGGGCATAGTATTTTTGGTGACATATGTAAATTCCATTGCGCATGTGGTTTGATCGACCCGCTCCGCAAGAGAACAGCCGAACAACATTGTAAATATAAGGGTTCTCAAAGAATGTAGCGTACGACTACTGCTGGTCCATGTCGGCAAAACTGTCTACTAAGTACCTGCTTAGTAGGTACTTAAGTACTTACCTATTGGGCACTTAAGTACATAAGTGCCTGGGCACGAGGCACCGTCTTTTGACAGACCAGCTTCTCGAAGTGCCAGGCGATTGCCCTGACATTGAACCTACCCCGCCACCTTCCATCTCCGGAACCGCTGATCCCTCCACATCGTTCACGCGAAGCCCATGATTTCAACCTCTGCAGTGTTATACTAGAACTCTCCCGTCATTTCCTGTCGGCGAATACTTTACTCTCATCGCGCTGTTCTTTTTCGTCTAGGGCAGCATTAATTAGCGGGCGCCTTGTATTGCGCAACCGCTTTCCTGTTGCCTGCTCTGTTGCCTAGCCGCAGCACAGAGAGCACAGAGGGCGCAGGCACAGTGTACTCACATTGACTATGGGAGGGACAAGTACGAACACAACTGCTGGGTTGGGCGCCATTCATGACCTGCCCGTCCAGCCAGAACCAGATCTCTCCGTCTCAACAGGACTCGAATTTAGTGCTGGCTCTGCGGATGGCGCCGAATCATCAATATCGTCGGAGAAAGGCGACTCGAAACCACCCAGAAGCGCAATGCGACGATCGTCTAGCATTCCCAAACTTCCACAGAGCCCGCGTCGAGTCCGGTTTGATTTTATGGGCGAGGAGGTGCTTCCAACAACATCTCCTCAGCCCAGTGCATTCATTTCTGCACGCATTTCTTCACCCGATCCTATCGGCGATGGAGAAAATTGCGCTTCTCATCTTGCCACAGAGCCTGGAGAGGAGGACGAGGAAGAAGAGGGAGAAGAGCGAGCGCCGCCTCGCAAAGTCTCGTCATCTGATGCACTGCGGTTTCTGTCAAGGGCTCCCTTGGAAGAGGACGGAACTATTTGGACAGTAATCAATTCAGACCCGGACCCGGACGAAGCTGTGCCAGATCAGCCGCATTTCTTGCAAGAGAGCCAGGCTGTCGACACTGCCCCAAGCGTGCCAACCACTATGATGGCCACATCAGGCGCGAATGCCTTGGGACCAACATGTGCAGCCACAACACCCGAGCCCAGCCATAAACATACTATCGTCGGCGATACCAAAGGCGCATCATCCAATTCTGAAGAAGACTCATCAGACGACGACTTCCTTGCAGTGGCTAAGCTCAAACGACCTGTGTCATCAGTCTCTCGAGCTCAAGCATTGCTATCTCCTACAAAATCGAGCCAGCGAGCTACTTCGGTACAGCTGGGCGACCAGAGCAGAGAGTCACCAAAGGCCAAGACATTAGCTGCCAGTAACGCCAGCGGCGAAGCTACCCATAGAGTGTCAGCGACAATAGAGGATGATAACGAGCTGTTTCATTTTGAGGAAGAGGGCTTGCAATTACCTGAGCGGCCGCGTCAAACCCGAAACCTGGCCGCGCAAATTGATCCCGACGATGGGCAATCCGACCATGATGAAGAGTCAAGTGGCACCCCCACTCCTCAACCGCTTAGTCTGTATGCTACATCGCCGGCAGTTCCAATTACAAGGCCAGCAAATCGAGACCGAGAGCCAGATCCTACGACCCCTTCAAGGGCCAAGTTTGAACCCAATACTGTCGGTTCCTACAAGGGCAGACCTTTAACGATACCCATCCTGCGAAACCCCGAGATACTGTCCCAGCTGGAATTCGCTCAACCTGTCAATGAGGTTGTAGGTAGCGTCCATCACCGTGGCCCTACGGATGCATTCAATCCAGCCAGTCTCCAGGAAAGCGCTGAACAAGCCATGGTTTTCAGCGCTCCAAGAAGCTTCAGTGAGCGGCTCATGATTGAAGATATGATGGAGGCAGCCAAAGCTAGATCTCCAGTTTCCGGTGCTGGACGGACAGAGCACGGGCAGTGACAAATTGTGAGGGCGGCTCTCTTTTACCTCTACTGTTTCAATTTGAAGTTGTTCCTCTGCCCTTTAGGTCTTGGGGGGGAAGGCAAGGATGTAATCAAGGCACACACGGAAGAAAGCGGCATCATAGAGGCGTTGAAATCTGGGAATTACTATGAATCATGGCGGAGTTAACAGACATAATGGCAAGGGCAACCATGGACCGACGTCTTTTTCTAGGGATGGATTTGTATCAATTACTGCAGGCGGCATTTCCCGTCACATCATGCAACTATGTAGTTGAAAATATCTATATCAGTCGCACTTGACTCACGAAACAATATACTAAATGCACCATAATTGAGAAGGCATTTTGCCTATAAAACACCAGTAGTCCCAGCTGCCGCACCATGTCGTATTTTTGAGATGAGGTGAACCAGTTGACCTCATGGCGGCATTGCATCGGGCTATACACGCTAACGTTATCGTTATCGCTGGTGCAGCTTTGTAAGTGCACTGGCATTATTAGTGGGCTGATTGGACTCAACATTCAGACCTCACCTGTATGTAACTTTCCACCCTCTGCAATCTCCATCCTGGACAGACAACTTCAACATCAACCCCCGCAACATACATCCAACACTCAATAACCAATCACACACGGCGCTCATCACAATGGGCGGTCTAAACCTAGAAGTGTTCAAGGTAAATCGTTTTGCGCATGACTCTTCTCAAGTTTTCAAATCATAACCAAAATTTCTGCTGGCACAGTTTGGCATGTATGTCATGTTTCCCATCGGCATCATGTACTACTTCGGCACGAATCTCGACGATCGCTTCTCAGTACCCAATTTCTGGCCGAGACCTGAAGAGTGCAATAAGCTTCCGCGCGACAGAGACGAAGTCAAGGCCGAGTATGAACGTATTGTCGCGCGACAGAGGTTTCGACAGGCTCAGCTTCAGGAAGAGCAGCGTCAACGGGCTTTGTTACAGGGAAACCAGAATAACGGAAGCGACTCTTGAAAAAAAGAAAGTGCCACAGGGCTGATGTAATGTATTGATGGTATGTGAAGGGGGATGGCTTGAGATTGTACGATATAGCATGCTTGCGACACTAGAAGGATGTGTACTACGATGCGAACCGATGCATGGAGCGGCGTTTGGAATCCCCCTCTTGGCAAAGAAAAAATTGTTGGCCATATTCTACCTGACATATTTCAAATTGTATAATTCGGATCAGATTTTGCCGGCTGTTGGGGTCGAATTCATACATACATGTGCCTCTCTACCCTCTCCCACTCTTCCTCGGTAATGCTACCTTGGTTGATGTTTGCAAAGATTGCTTTGACTTCGGAATACTCTCGTAGCCCAGTCAAAAGCGCATCTAAGCTTTCCACAGATTGCTTGGTGTCGATTGCAGTCCTGGTATCGTCATTTGCGGCCCAGATTATGTCTGATTCGACGACCTCAAGCCCAAATCTCTTCGAAAGTGCTTCTGTGATGGCCATCAATTGCGTTGGCTCTGTTAACACCAGGAAGTCCCCGTCTGGTAATTCTTCTACGTCGTCAGCTCCGTCATGCTCAATCGCCTCTTCTAGAAGATCAGACAGAGTTGGTCCGCCCTGCTTGTTCCTGAATATTATTCGGCCACGCCTCGAGAAGTAGAAGGAAGTTGAGCCGGTGACGCCGCCGGCTTTTTTGACAACATATTTGAGGTCATGCAAGGTGCGGGTTTTATTGTCGGTTTCTATATCGGCGATCAGGGCAATATTAGGCGGCATGAGTACTTCGAAGGTCATTGATTCCAGTTGCGCTCCGGCTGCTGATCGGCCTTGGCCGCGAGCGATTGCTGCTTCGACGAGGGCTTTCGGAACGCTCGCTGGGGCAATTCGTTAGAAAACCACTATTCACTTGGGTTTATCAGCGCATGGGAATTTGGGTTGCCGCCTTACTTGCCTTTGGTGGCAGCCGCTATGGCATTTGCTAGCTGTGGGTTAAATTTGACATCTTCACCGTACACTTTGAACGGTTAGCTCCAACAACTGGACAAGGCGGGTATGCAACGTTACTAACTTCGCGAGTACATTGCAATAAGCTTTGTGAATGCCGTTCGCTCCGCCATCTTCTTCTTATCCGTTACCGCCTTGATGTGTTTGGTCTTGGACCACTTGTTGTGGCCTGCCAGCATCGCCTGGCTGGTGGAAAATGATCGCAGACATTGTCGACAGAATTGGAGCTTTGCAGGCGGTTGGGATAAAACTGTGGCAAAGGATAGTGCTGAGGATGTATTTGCTATTGCCATGATAGTCTTCAATGAAAGCACTGCGAGGGTATTTCAAGGTGTCTTGAAAATCCCGTCAAACTTGCTCAGAGACGTTGTCAGCTGGTGCATTAGCCTCACTGATTGGCTGACAAGCTCAGGCTCAAATTCTGTACCCAGTCCAGTGAGCTCAGATGTCCCACATATGCATGTCTCACTCAACAGCTCCCCGCCAGCTGGCCGAAGTCCACCAGAAGGAAGCCTACCCACCCTGCCCACCTCAACCCCTTACACCATAAGACGTCGACGGGTTGTTTACAGCTTGCTGAAAATCGCGAATCATCCGGCAAGCACACAGGACGTTGCTCGTCCCTATTACTCGCTCGTCATGTCGTCTAATTCGGAGCCTGAAGCTCCCACGGAGCAGCCACCAGCCCAGGCCTCCGCCGAAACGGCCGCCGCCACTGTTGAAGCCAAAATCACAACTCCCGAGCTCGACCTTTCCAAATTACAGGCCTTGCCAGCGGAGCAACAAGAGCTTTTTTTGTTATCTTTTGTGTCAGATCTGAAAAGACACGTCCTGGGCCTGGTGGCCGACGATTGTACAGCTCAGCAGTTCTACTTGAAGAAGGAGATCTTCCAAATTATCAATCTAGCAACCCCCGCGCCGTCTCGAGTAATACGGAACAACTTGGGCAAATGTTTAGCTCACATATTCAGCAAGGGAGACCGGAAATTGCTTTTTGAGACCATCAACGATTTGATCTCTGTAATAACGGGGAGCAAGGGGAAGTCTGATGGTGAGACTCGCTCTAAGCAAGCCGCCGTGTCCTGCTTGGGTGATGTCTTCGCGGCCGCTGGCGACAGTGCGATTGGTTTACATCAACTTGCTTGCACTACCCTACTTAAGTTGTTGAAAGCCGCCTCCAACAATGCCGGTCTGCGTGCGGCTGTTCTCAATGCTCTAGCTAAACTCATCGCCATGGTGCAGGGCAGCATGGACGAAAGCATATCACGCGACATATGGAAACAAGGACGAAATCACGCTGCTTCTGATAAGGGTTCGCTGGTAGTGGCGTCTGCATGCCGCTGCCTCAAATCTCTCGTCAAACATACTGCTTATTTCCGCAGTTCGGCTGACCTTGATAAGCTGGAGAGTGCAATCTTCAAATCCGTCGAATCTTCTTCTACTCAGGTTCGACATGCAGCCGCGGATTGCTTCGCAGAGGCATTAGTTCAAGGCTACTCTCCAACTGGCAATGGTGAAGCCTCCAAGAGTAAGAAGACGAAACCGAAGCCGAAGCGCGCTTCCACCCACCCTGGAATAGCAAATATTGATGAAAACGAGGACGACCTCCCGCCAAGATCAGCAAGCCCAGCTCCTGGTGGAAAACGTGTCCAGGACCTAGCCTTATCTGTGCCTGATATGCTCAAAATACTATCGACCCAATATGTCAAGCAGAGTGCATCAAATAAGACCCGCGCAGCGATTGGTGTCTGTTACGGAAAGTTGTTTCGTCGACTTGGGGAGCGGACAGTTCTCTCCAAGTATCTGCAAATTGTGGAAAGCTTTTCGACTGAAATTTTGGGACACTCGGCGATAACCAACAATCGATATCGCCTGTTGATTACTCGGCGGATAGTTGATACTGTTCTTTACGATGTTATTGGACGACAGATTCTCGGCGAATCTGGACAAATTTCCGCTGCTGAGGCTCTGGTTAACAACATTCTAAAAAACTATCCGCAGGCCCTCGCAGAACGTCCAGAACCTTCAAAACAGATGCTGATAATAGCTCTGCGAGCCGTGGCGTCTCTCATCACGTCCCTCGGCTCGGCATCTAACAGGTTTGCTGAATCTTGTCGGGACGGGCTATTGCAAGTTCTTCAGCATCCTAGCTATTCTGTTCAGGTATATGCTTCTTATTGTATGAAGGCTTTTGTTCTTGCCTGCCCTCAGCAGCTACTTCCATGCCTTTCCGTGTGCATGAACAGCTTGGCTCGGGAACTCTCGCTCCTCAACGGTGGACGAAATTCACCAAGACGGTGTCTGGGATTTGCTCATGGACTGTCAGCTACTCTCAGCACCAGCTCTGCTCGACCTCTATACGGATCTGTCGACATCAATAGCCGTGTTCTGACTATGGCCACAAACTTGCTCAAGTCGAGCAGTCAGTCAGAGTTGCGAATTTCCAGTATCCAAATCCAGGTTGCGTGGATTCTCATTGGCGGCTTGATGTCTCTCGGTCCAAATTTCGTCAAAATCCATCTATCACAGCTTCTGCTTCTGTGGAAGAATGCGTTACCAAAGCCCCTTGCGAAGGACAATACGTCAGCCAGAAGTCTCCTTGAAGCTTCATTCCTAACTCACGTACGAGAATGCGCCCTCGGCTCCATCATGTCATTCTTGGAGTTTAATAGCCGCTTGTTGACAGTTGATGTTTCAAAACGCATTGCCGCCATGCTTCAGAGTACGACGGCTTTCTTGAAGACCTTGCCCTCCAAAAAGACGACGGAAGACATATCGCAGAGGCTGACCCCCGCTCTTCAACTATATGATCTGGATATGATGGTTCAGCGCCGGGTACTACAATGCTACATCAAACTGGTTAACCTGAGTCCTGCTGGGGGGAGTGAGGCTCTCTTGCAATCAAATCTGCTCACTCTAGCCATTTCACTCTTTGCGGACCCTGAGAACTATACACCTAGCTCCCTCAGTGCGTCCATTGCAAACGCGGCTGGTACATTTGACTCTATATGGGATGTGGGTGATAATTCTGGCTTTGGAATCACCGGCTTGGTTTCCGGCTTCAACATTAAACAACTACCTGGTCAGCATGAATCGTCCACTGGGACTGAAATTGAAGTCGACAGCCCAGAGGATTCCATCAACAAACTATTGAAGTCCCCGGTATGTGGAAGTCTTGAACATGACGCGTCGATACTGTACATAGGAGGTGTGGGTGATTCTTCCATTCTCCCAGATCCACCGGCTACAGAAGTTATCAATAATGCCATTCAACTATTCGCTTTTACATTTCCTCTCACACCGGCCAAGGTGCAAGAGAGTATTTTGGAACAAATAAAGACGTTCGCTTCTGCTGGTTTGCTGCAAAGAGACCCTGGTCGCAAGGCTGCAATCAATGTCAACGTTTCTCTTGCTATCCTTTCGAGCCTGAAGGTAGCTGTCAAAGAGACTAGATCCCCTGCAGGCAACGTCTCGAATCTGGCTGTAGAGCGCTTGTTGCAGGATATTGTTCGAGATATTGTTCTGGATCAAGACCAGTATGTCCGCAGTTTAGGGTACGAGTCGGTGGCAAGACTATGTAATGTCTACGGAAACGCATTTACCAACCAAGAAATTAAGTATCTTGTCGATACAATTGTTGGTAACCGAGAACCGAGTGCAAGAGCTGGATGCGCAATGGCACTTGGTGCCATTCAAACCAAGGTCGGCGGCATGGCCGCTGGGTATCATTTGAAAACTATTCTTGGTATCTTGATGTCTCTATGTAATGACCCTCACCCGATTGTTCACTATTGGGCTCTTGAGGCTCTATCATTGGCCTCAGATGCTGCTGGGCTTAGCTTTGCGAGTTACGTTCCGAGCACATTGGGAATGCTAGCCCAACTATATGTTTCGGAAACACACCATGCCGAAATCTCCTCGGCTGTCACTATGAATCTTGAAATGGAACTTTCCAGCGTTGCAGCGGTATCGAAATGCGTTGATTCACTCATCAATGTATTAGGTCCCGATCTGCAGGATGCCAACAAGTCTAGGGACCTCATTTTCACACTGGTCAATCAATTCCAGGATGAGGATGATGTCCTCGTTGAAAAGGCTGCTTTGAGTTGCCTAGAACACCTATCTCTCTATGCTCCCGGCCAGATGCGATTCGCCGAGTATGTAAAACTTCTCCAGAAGTATCTCAAGTCTGGGAATGAGACGCTACGGGATGTCTCGGTGGATGGCCTGCACAACATAATGAAACGGGAGCCACGCGACGTGCTAAGAGAAGCTGAGGATGGATTCGAGGAGCAACTATGGCTAGTCCTTGACAGTGTACCAAGTCATGACGGTGTCAGAAATATCATTCGAAACTGGATGCATCAGTCGTGCATATTTGAAACTAATGAGTGGCTGCATCGATTTCAGACTGTGTTAAAAATGACAAGAGCGAAGAACGAAGCGCGTGATGAAGCAAGGCCAGTTGGTGGAGTTCCCGATCTTCAGGATGAAGAAGTTGCTGGATTTGCCGCGGCTGTGCCTGGTGCCAAGGAGGGCAGAGACAACTCTGCGCCATCAGAGGCCGAACCACTGCGATGGCAAGTCAGAACATTTGCACTTCGTTGTATAACCGACATATTTGCCATTGTCGCCAAGGATGTTGCGGCAAATGGAGAATCAGCAGCACAGCTGGCGTTGCAAAATAAGATTGCTGATGTAGTCCGTATGGCTTTCTCAGCTTCTACTTCTAATGTACTGGAACTGCGAATATGGGGACTGAAGATAATCGGTGCTGTGCTCAAGATGTTTGGGAAGACGCCTGACCCTGACTTCGAGGAAGCTATGCTTCTGGAACAATATCAAGCTCAAATCAGCTCTGCTCTAACACCCGCATTCGCTGCTGACTCCTCACCAGAACTAGCCTCGGAGGCCGTAAACGTCTGTGCGAGCTTCATCGCGGTTGGTATTGTCACAGATGTGGATAGAATGGGCCGAATCCTGAAAACACTTGTCACTGCCTTGGAGAACTTTTCCAATGACCATGAGAACGCAGGAATTGGAGAACTGAAGGGACTGAGCAGCAATGCACAGGTCATGGTTAAAATATCCGTGTTTTCCGCCTGGGCAGAACTTCAGGTAGCAAGCACAGAGCAAAAGTATCTAATGGATGTTCTGAAGCCTTACGTCGGAACTTTAACTCCACTTTGGCTAGAATCTCTACGGGAGTTTGCTCGACTTCGATTCGAACCCGATATCTCCATGACACTGGGGCCACCGTCTCTTTCCGGGAGCCTAGATACAATTTATGCGGCCTTGAATCGGGAAACCCTACTTCGATTTTATCAGGAGTCGTGGCTGAAGCTTGTTGATGCAATTGCCAGTCTTATTGAACAAGACAGCGAGTTCGTTTTCGATGCACTCGATGGCAAAGAGTCCCGAGAGGGGGGACCCAACGGTGACACCAAGAGCCCTGTTATCAACTACCGAGACGAGCCTGTGGCATTTTTCTTCGTGCTCTTTGGGCTTGCCTTTGAAGCCCTGGCAATCAGGCCGGGCCAGGCAGACTCGCTTGCTACGAGAGAGCAGGCCTTAGATATTCTGGAGGCATTGAAGAAGATATTGCATCCAAGCGTGTCTGGTCACGCTATTTACAGACCTGATGTCTTTGCTGAAACCATGGACTTGCTAGATCGCCTAGTTCTGACCGATGGACTGGATATCCAAAGCGTGATCGTTGATATAGCGCGAGCACTCTGTGTAACACACCCGTCTGCCCGAAGGCAGTCAGAGGATGAAGGCGACCTCTCCGAAGACATCGATCAGCTTTTTGAGTTGACACGAATCATTGTGTTGGTTTTGTCTGGCTTGCTCCCTAATCTCTCTGAAGGTAACCAGCCTGTCCGACATCAAATGAACGAAGAGGCCATCCTTCTCGTTCGTAACTCCTTGGATGCCCTCGTGGACGCAGCGGAGGTCTTTCCGTCAATCATCAAGACAGATCTTCATGCCTGCATTATTCACATCTTCGCCACTATTCTTGCTACCCCTTCCTGTCAAGAACTGGTTGTTCCCCAGTCACTGGCGATCTTGAAGCGATTTGTCGCTAGCGCGTCATCGTCAACAAGTAGCGGAGATGACGACAACTTACCACCTCAAGCACAAATTCAGGGCTGCCTTCGCCGCTTCTTATCGATATATGTAAATGCACAGAAAAGAGAGGAGTCGACATCTTTGGCATGCGTCAGAAACTGCCTGCTTGCTACAACAATCCTGTTTACTGGTGGAGAGAATCAGTTGCCTGCAAGTCACCCGCTCGTCGCACGATATCTTGACGAGCTGCTCGACTGTCTGACTGATAGAATGGTAAGTCGACTGACCGCTTGGGACACTCTATAGTTCTCGCTAACACACTATCTCAGACCGCCAAGATTGCCGCCAACTGCATCCGGTCTCTGCTCCTACAATCGTCGCCCACGTCGGCAGACCTGAGTATAGCTCGCTATCTCTTCCCTAGACTGGTTACCTTTGTGACAAACGTGGAGCCAGAGGACCCAGAACGAGCCCGGTCCCTCGTATCCCACACTCTCTGCTTATATGTCGGCATAATTCCTAAGGGCCGTGTCCCCGCAGCAATGGGATTGGTCATACCAGCCCTGATGACACGGGCAGTTGGAGAGGGAGAAGACATGTACCAAGAGACCAGCACACGGCTCCTAGAGCTCGTGGCCATCGACCAGGCTGGCTTCAGAGCTACGGTTGGCGCGATGAATAGCGGTCAGCGAACCTTTTTGGAAGAAGTCATCCGCTCCGGACAACAATCAGGAAGCGAGGCGAATGCGTCATCTGCCGGTGAGGCCGGCCGGCCAAGTATCACTCTCAAGATGAACTTTGGCGGCTAGTCGCACATGCGAACTGTACCTACACGAAAATCCAAGCAAATTTTCAACATGCATCGTGCCGGACTTAATATTAATACTCGCTGACAGCCGAATCGACGCTACCGCTGTTATAGTGAGACAGATGCAGGACAATGAGCTTCGCTGCCTGCCAAGTGGATGTGTCCCTCCCATTGGGTGACACAGCTCTGTCAGTTTGACGACATTGGCCAATTTGATGTTTCACCGCGGGCTGACGCACTTGGAACGGTGGTGGATAAACCGGTCAATGAATGGGGAAATGGAGCAGTTTGATGACGAAAGAACATGACTAGCGACACCCTAGCGTTTGATATGCTGGGTAAATTCATGCCTGTAAGGACAGCCTCACGACAGAAACGAATTAAGACTTGATATTGAATGATGGACATGCCGTTGATACTTTTTTCGGGTATATTTTAGGCAACATGACAGCATCCTATCATTCTACAAAATTAAGGAGGATTTTGGTTTGAAAGTTTAGTGATAATGTGATGTACGTCGTCGTCTCATCATGAATTCTGTAGAGCCCGTTACACGTCATTACCATCAGTTTCATAGGCTTCGTCAAGATTCCAAACGCAATATCATCGCACCAACATTCTCGCGTACCTCGACACCTGCTTAGTAGTCTAACGCTGTGATACTATACAAAAAAAAAAAAAAAAAAAAAAAAAAAAAAAAAAAAAAAAAAAAAAAAAAAAAAAAAAAAAAAAAAAAAAAAAAAAAAAAAGAGAGAGAGAGAGAAAGAGTCAAGATAGTTGTACGCCCGCCTAAAGGCAGAATCGCCTCGTCAAGTACACAAGTTAAGGTTTTGCTCCCCGCCTGTTTGTTACGCCAAACCAACCTGGCCACCACTCACTCGTGACTCGGTCAAAAAGAACTGTTACACAAACTATATTTAGAACAGTATCGATCGAAGACTCTGGATGTGGGTATCCCTTGGTGTTCAGTAGTTGGCGGGAGTAGAAGCGAAACTGAATGGAGTTTTACTTTTCTTTCATCGTCTTTTTCCGGGTCGATGACCCATGGGCGATGACTGGTCCAGTGGATTTGATTGTATCTTCAGTGGCTTTACTGGTTGAGCTGTCTCGTGTCGACGGTGAAGGTGAGGAGTGAAAGGTCCGGCTTCGGGGCTTTTGGTCATTGGCATCGTCTCTATGTGATTTGTCAAGCTGTCGTGTGGATCTGCCCGTTTCCTTGGACGATTCGGAACGGTGGTGTCTTGATCTTGGGTCCTTAGCAGCCTTGGATCGTTCCGCATCAGTTACGCCTTCTGTCGTGAGCTTGGTTGATACAACTCGTCCCTGAAAGAGTTTCTGGTCCAGTATACGAACGGCCGCTTCGGCGGCAGTCGGGTTCGTCAAGGTAATAAACGCATGCCCACGTATCCGCCCTTTGGGCTCGACCAATGGAATATCAATTCCAGTTATGGCTAATGAATATTCCCCTACTTGGTGACGGATCCAGTTGGCCACTTCGCTCTGGCGCGCTTTATGCTGTATAGACGTAACAACGACTTTACATGGTTTCTCTGCTGTGTAACCCAACCTCTGGCGCGTGTCGCCGAACTTCGGGCCTCCCATGGAAGGAGTATAGTCCAAGGTTCCCAGGGACGTTCGGAAGTGGGTGGATGCGTAAGTCTGGTGCGAACTGGCATGCTGCGAGTCGGCAGACTGAGATCCTCCGTACTGTGAATTGCCGCTATAACGCCCGGACGGCATGGGACCGGTTTCTGGGAGAGGCTCGTAGTAGCCGAAGCCCGGCGTATATGTCAGAGTGTGATTTCTCATGGCTGATATGGTGTTGTAGGATTCTGCCATGGTCGTATAGGGGTCCAATACCAGCATACCGCCGTATGCCATGGTTGCTGCCACAGGTCCAGCAGGGCAACCGATAGACAGAGGTAGTCGACCAAACTCATGATCCATGCCAAGCTGGGCGAGATCATCCTTTGTCAACCAATTGTAATATTAAATTTAGGGTTTTCAGAGGTTATTGAGAATATTACTAATCGTACCGGACTGGGCAGAGAAACTGCTTCCTGCATGCAACTCCGAGATGGAGGCAAAGCTACCTCAGGGCTCCGCGGTTGTCCAGCAATCAGGTCCCAGTGTCCTGATGTGCTATACTGGGCGACTCTGGAGTCGACTGGTTCTTTGATCTTGATAGATTCGGTCCTGTTTCTGTCTGAAGCGATGATAGCTCGGTTGCGGAAATATTCTTTCTTCACACGAGCTAGATGTCTTGGTCAATGTTTCATTCAGCTGCGAACCTGTGCCAACCCTGAAAGACATGCAGTAGGAAAAGGGAAGACATAAACAGGATAATGTCATCCAACTTACACCACGCCTTGTTAAAATTCTCCTCTCCACGAAGCCGTATCCAACCGGACGTGCTAGACTGAAACAGCTCGACATGGTCAACATCGCAATCAACACGTAGCCAGTCTTTGAAATCCTGCCAAGACGTGCCGAATGGCAGCTAGAATATCTCCAAATGCGTTAGCTTCAAAACCTCTGGCACTCGAAAGATGGGAGAAACGATAAGAGGGTAGATTTTTTTTTTTTTTTCAAAAAAAAAAATAAATAAATAAATAAATAAAAAAAGAAAAGAAATGAAGTGGCCATTTACTACGAACATTGCATATTGGCATATAGTAGATTCCAGTTTTCTCCCCTGGCTCGACGTCTGCCATAATCACCTTCTTCTCTGGTCCTCCATGGCGGGACATATTCCTTTGAGTGCGTGCCGGGCAAGCAACAATGATAGTACAACACGACTAAACTTATGAGCATGGGAAGACGGCGTATTTGAGACAAACAACAGATGTCCCGAAACAGATGCTCTTGTTGGAGATGCGGGTGAAGGTTGTATGACGACAAGTGGCATTCAGTTGAAGACGCCGACGTTGTGATAAAATTTTCCTGTCGCGCAACCGGGCAGGGGCGTATGAAGCTGGGTAGAAACAGTTTGCGACGACGAAGAAATTCCGCAGTGATATTAAGAGGGAACTGCCGGAGTGTACAAGGCCAGGAAAAGCAAATACTGACGGCAAGGATGGCAACACACATGTCCAAGCCACCAGGCCAACGATGAAATCGCGATTTCATACGACTTGGCCACTCCTGCGCAACTAGCCAGGGGCAAGGGCAGGGAACTGGGGGAAGAACAGAGTAAGGAACGAGAATCGGCCATGTCAGGTTACAATGCAAACATAACATATCATGCTGAACAGGCTTTGAGCAGCTACCGCCACCAAATCGGTACAATACTCAGGCCTGCACTCAAACGTTGAGGCAGCGGGACAACAGCTCCTCACATGCACTCGCCACCGCTCCAAGACCCGGGTAGCTGGTTCTCCCTCGTCATCAATGGTTGTTCGATCAATACCAACAGACTGTTGGACAACCGGAACTGGCTGGCAAGTGGCTGACCGAGGAATTGCCTTGACCGCTGCCACTACTTTGCCCGGGAGACAAGCTGTGCGTGGGCATCGCCTTTGACTCGAGTTATCCTCAACGCCTGCTCTGGTCTTCTAGGCTTCCAACATATCCCATTCTCACCGCTTGCTTCCAGAATTTCTTCAAATCTCGAGCCACTTACGACATGCCAGGCTTGTTTTTGGTCGATCCTTGATCCAGATTCTTGCCCTGAGAGATGCGCCGGCCATCCGAGGATCCCTTCTCTCGCCTTGACGGCTCTTTCGCTAATCCCCATTCGCCCCCCATGTCTCTCTCTACCGTGACACTGGGGTCTCGGCACCACGGGCGGGAATGGCCCGCCGAAAGGCGTTGTGGCAAATGGCTGGCCGACGGACGCAGTATCCTCCAGTTCTCTGTCTTTTTCCACCAATTCGCATGGCATCCTACCAGAATACAAAAAAAAAAAAAAAAAAACATGATCTGGCACCTTGTCAACTACTGATCCTGCCACGTCTTTGACAATTGGCATAATAAGCGCGAGGGAAGGGGAAACACATGGAGGTCGCACCTTACGCTGTTTGCGCGAAATAGAACGCCACGCTGCAACTAGCCAGATGCAGAAGTCAGGGGCTGTCGTCCACCGCCTGTACATGTGGCTCCTGGCAAACCGCAAGTTGGGCTGGGGCTTTCACAGTTTCTTTGGTTTGCTTGACTTGAACACGGGGGTTGAAAGGCCTGGTAGCCTGCTGACCTTGCAGTTTGGAAGTTTGGATTGGCTCATTTGATTGACCACCGCTCCCGCTCAGATTCAAGTGTATCTGAAGGAAAAGGTATCGTCTAGATTCGAGGCGTCGTCCGCTATGACAATTGGCCTCGCGGAGCCCAGGCTTTCGGCCTCGTCCCGTCCCGATGATAGTGCCAGGCTTGGTCCATCCAACTCGACCCCGCCTACTGCAGCCTCCCATGGGCTCGGTTCTTGGTCCGCATCCGCGAGGGACAACAAGAAGTAATGTTGTGAGTTGGTTATCAATAGTTCCAGAGACTCGGTTTCATTATTCAGCCAGGTGGTCTGCATCTTCGACGCGGGTTTGGACGCGGACAGATATTTCTTGGCATAGAGTGGTGTTGGGCCGTGTGATAATGGATCCCACACATACGACATACACTGCTCTTTATCGTCCTGGTTGCATATTAGGAGTGTTTCTCTAATCGATGGGTGCCAAGTAAAGGTGACTGCTAAATGGAATATCAAAGCTGCACGAAGCTCTGCAGCAGCCAGATCCCAGATCCATATCGTGCAGGGACAATCGTCGAGCCTCGTGGCAAGAAGAGTGGAGGATGCGTCAAACGAAATGGAAGAACATCCCCCGCGCACATCTGTGGATTGCTTGGTACTGTTACTGCCGTTGGCGAAAGTCGGTGGGGAAGCAGTTTGTGTTGCTCTAGAAAAGGAGTGAATGTTCCGTCCGTCAACCCCAACACTGACCTGCTCTTGCCACACCTAGATGCAAAACTAGCGTCAGCACTGCATAATATCGCAGAATGACGGCCCGAGAAAGGGAAGAAAAAAAAACAGACATACTTGAAGTGTCTCTCGCGGGGCGATAACGGTGGGATGCATTAATCTCATCACTGATCGCCATATGCCGACCTGGAGGACGGTAATCCCTCTGCTATGATCTCCCGTCGCACAAAGCTCTGCATTGGAGCTGAGCTGACAGCTCTTGATCCCTGGTTGCATGTTCGACCCGGGCTCGGTAGTAGAATCCGGTCTAAGATTGGATGCATCAAGGGTTCGGAAATGCTGCCCGTCTCCGGTGTAAACCAGGAGCTGGCTGCCCTGCGCCGGCGACTCCCACAAAATGATCCATTGTCCGTCAGGAGTCCACTGGACGCCTTGAGCATCGAGGGTATCTGGATACCATGATCTCGTAACCCGCCGTGTCAGCGGGTGGTGTATGCTAACCATATCCTTGCCACCCACCCTCGTTAGCATAAGGAGATGTCCGGTGTCGGGGCGAAGAGAGAAACCTCGCGAAGCTGACGTTGGGTGATAAAACTTGGGGTTGCTAATCTCAACAACTTTGGAGGCGGCCACGTCAAAAATGGCAAACTTGATGCCGAATGGAGCACACGCCAACACTTCGGTATCGCGACTTCCAAACTGGACCATAGGCAGCTTGCCGCCAGCCGGAGCCGCAGGGCCATGAATGGTGGCCTGGAACGAGGAGTCGCATGCTGCAAATACTTGAATGTAGTCACCTGCGGAGACGAGTATTTTGGATGACGACGGGGCCCATATGAGGTTGCTGATCGGACGGGGCAGCTCTGGAGAGAGTTTCACAGCATGGATGGTCTGCAAGGTCTCCGTTGACCGAACAATGATTGTGGATGAGCTCAGGACCGCTACCAGACGTCCATTTGGACTGGGCTTGCAGAGCGGGGATGCTGGATACAACGGGTTAGTTACCACTCTGGGCGTATGTATTGCAGAGTTTTCTTACATTTGAAGGGACGCGTGTGGTGCATTGGGGGCAGCGGAGAGACCTGCATGTTTGTTTGCTACTACTGGTAACCTTTGCTGCAGCTGGCTTCCACGGTTCGGGAAATAAAGAGAATGTTGGCACAAAAAGAGAGGTGCAGGTATCCGTCTAGCCTAATAAATATATTGCCCAGCCGTGTTCCTGGATGCGTTGGGAGCCTGGCAAGGTGGCTTACATGCAACCTTGCCGACAACGGTGTAGGCGATGCGGGAAGAAGCGAGAGGCCAAACAACGGGAGCCTTTGCAGAATCAGCCAGGGCAGACGTGGCTACCCCTCATTAGTATCAGACGCGGTATCTTATGGGGAAGAAGCAAAAGAAACTTCTTCAACCATACTTTTTAGATCGAGGCCTGGGACACCTTGTCTGATCTCGAGAACTCGGCGACCAGGTGACGCCCAGTGATGTGTTGAAACCCACTTTCCACGAGATGTTTGTGTGCAGGTTGGTGTTAACTTGTTTTACTCCTTTGGGTTTAGCGGCTCTATCACAGCGGATCGCCACCACTTATGTATAGATATGCATGAAGAAATAGTTAACATTACTACCTTGCTTCCGTGCACACAACAACTGCTTTCAGCAAGCTTCTCTTGACGGGCGGTGCCCTCTTTCAAGCAACAAACTTAGTCCGTTGAGGGGAAGAGGCGTCCAATTGCACAGCACCTAATAATGCGTAAATCAGGCGTCATCCAGCTTACTCATCTATCTGCCATGTCACTGGTTGGGGCCGTTTCTGGCAGCAACACCACCTCTTTCAACCTCCCCCATCCAACCTGTCCATCAGTCGCATTGCAATTTGTCTCCGAGTCCTGTGCAAGCTGATTGACTCACAGTTCCCCCCTCCCAGCTCGTCCGATCCGTCCAGCATGGAAGGTGGTGTAGGCAGTTGAGAGCATATATCTCGGAAGTTTGGAAGGCGATCGCAGCGGCAACTCGGGGGGCATCATCGGGACTCGGGCCAACGACTCCTCCGACTAGATTGGTGTCGTGTGCTTCAAAATGCAGACCACGAGCAGGGTGCTTTTCACTTCGCTGCCACGTGTTAGTCGTTGCCGCAGGGCATCGATGGTATGGCAGTATTCTTACTCGCTCAGACGACAGATTGTAAGCTCTGCCTCGGCGCATGAGGATATTTCTCAGGTATCGGGCTCCCTAGAGACGGCCGTATCCCTCTCGCGTCGAGACCGCATACGTAATGCGAAGCCGTTCTCGGAGTTTTTGACAGACACATTTCATCGCCAACATGATTACCTGAGAATATCTGTTACAGAACGGTGCAATCTACGGTGTGTATATTGCATGCCCGAGGAAGGCGTTCCCCTGTCTCCTAATCGGGAGCTTCTGACGACGCCGGAGATTATTATGCTGTCATCCATATTTGTCTCTCAGGGGGTGAACAAAATTCGTCTCACTGGTGGCGAGCCTACGGTTCGACGTGATATACTGTCTCTGATGCATCAAATCGGCGCACTACGGCCTCGTGGCTTGAAGCAGCTATGCATAACAACTAATGGCATATCGCTGCATAGGAAGCTAGACAGTATGGTAGAGGCGGGCCTTACGGGTGTCAACTTGAGTCTTGACACTCTAGACCCATGGCAGTTTCAGATCATGACTCGAAGAAAAGGCTTCGATGCAGTACAAAAGAGCATTGAGAGAATATTGGAGATGAACGAGATGGGCGCCGGAATCAAGCTGAAAATCAACTGTGTGGTAATGCGCGGGATTAACGATTGCGAGGTGCTCCCATTTGTCGAGCTGACTCGGGAAAAGGATCTCGAGGTACGGTTCATTGAGTATATGCCATTCGACGGGAATAAATGGAACGAAGGCAAGATGTTTAGCTATGCCGAGATGCTGGATCTCATTAGAGGACAGTATCCCGGTCTAGCCAAAGTCAAAGATGACAAAAACGACACCAGCAAGACTTGGCATATCCCGGGGTTCGTTGGGAGAATTGGATTCATCACGAGCATGACACACAACTTCTGTGGCACTTGCAACCGGTTGCGTATCACGGGCGATGGCAACTTGAAAGTGTGTCTCTTTGGCAATGCCGAAGTATCATTGCGGGACATATTGCGCAAGTCAAACCGTGGAGAGCCCATTGATGAAGAGGCATATGAAGCAATGAAGCAAATTGAGATGGACCGGAAGCAAGGTCGAGTGTGTCCAGACCAGCCTCTGGGTGTGGCACCCAACGAGGCTGAGTTACTGGATGTCATTGGCATAGCAGTCAAAGGGAAGAAGGCCAAGCATGCTGGTCTTGGGACCCTTGAGCACATGAAGAATCGGCCGATGATATTGATAGGTGGGTGAATGTATTTCTTCCCCGTACATATGTCACAACCATGTATTCTTCCAAGCTGTCTTGGCTGGCTGGCTGGCGTTGAGGCGCTTCATATTTTGTTTCATCTACCTTGATTTGTCAATACGAGCACATCGATATGATAATGTGCAATCAGATACGACTTGGCACTTTACTTGTTCAGATTTCACATGCATACACGGCGTGGCATTTGGAGGCAAATTGCTGAGTAGTACATCTGTAGATCCTATTCCAGCATCACTCCGAGACCAAATGCCACACAAAATTCGCCGTCTGATCAGCGGCACTGGGATCCTTGGTCGGGCGCCATATAGCATATACAACCCTAGCTCAGCTGGTTACAGGATGCTATCTTCAAGTTCACGGCGCTACAAGGCATATGTTGGCGAGGGTCAAGAGAAGAGGAGAGTCCACCTGACGCACGTTTCGGACACTGGCTCGGCTCACATGGTCTCAATATCAGAGAAAGCAGTCACGTCTCGAATAGCCACGGCAGCATGTACGGTCCGTTTCTCTAACAAGACGGCGGTATCACTTATTCGAGAAAACCAGATGAAAAAGGGCGATGTGCTCGGCGTGGCACGCATTGCCGGCATCATGGCAGCCAAGCGAACGGCAGACTTGATACCGCTATGCCATCCGATCGCAATATCCCACGTGACAATTGATCTGGAACCTGGGGAAGGGGGAGACACAATCGAAATCCGAGCAACAGTGGCATGCGATGGGAAAACCGGTGTCGAGATGGAGGCAATGACGGCGGCTTCCACAGCGGCCCTAACAGTGTACGATATGTGCAAGGCAGTGGACAAGGGCATGGTGATTGACGGCGTGCGGGTCGTGTTGAAGGATGGCGGTAAGAGTGGAAGATGGGAAATGGGTTAAGATGGAATCGGCTTTGGGAAACTTGTATTAAGAAGCGGGGAGATTGCATCACATCACATACATGTACAATGTGAGGTGCACACGTAAAGAATGACAGGACGAAGAACTAGAACTGAAGCCATGTCGACGATCTCATCCGATCAAACCCATTAGCGCGCCAACAGACAATTAGTTCAAACTCTCCTCCGCCATGGAAATGGCGAAGCCGGCGTGCTATTAATATCGTGGGCCACAACCCAAACCACAGTGCATCGGTAGCCAGTGATTCAAGTCCTCAGATCAACTATGGCATGCATACTGTATGTATCCATGTATCGCAAAACATGATGTACATGCAGAGGCGGCCCATACGTGCGGCACGAGTGTTCTTTACGAAGAGCCATGTGAGAGTTACGATGCGCAGTTTGCAGGGCAGGGCAGGGCGGTGCTTTACCACCTTCACGATAATGCTGTATTCGTTTTACTCCGTAGAAAGTCTCGAGCATTTATCAGCAAGCTTTGATGTCTTGGGGGTCTGAAATTCAGGTCCGGGTTCTGGGTTCAAAGTGAACAAACAGGTGGCGGTCAAGACGGACCACCCGAGAGGCCGTGACGACTGCCCATTGACACTTGTTATCGTCATCGAAGTCCACGGTGGTGCTGGTTCGACGCCCGCAAGAAAAAGTATTGTAAAGGGTTCGATTTTAGAGGACGTGGGTCGTTTTCGGTGAAACTTGTCTTGATACGCATCATCCACCCACTACCTTTCAAAGCCTAGATGGTCATCCTGGCGATCAAGACATTGTCGGCAAAAGGCCCCGACTGAGCATTCCAGCAAAGGTTTGCCACTATGGCGGTCGAGGCCGCCTGCAGTTTGCGTGGGACAGCAGACGGAACGCCCGAGGCAGAGGCAGCTGTTGAGCCTCAAACAGCCGTGCAAGGGCATTCAGGGGATCAGGGGATGTCGTCGGGAACCGCATCGGCTTCCGTGGCCACGGGGCTGTCGGGGCGGTCAGTCCCAAGGTCGGACGACGGCCACGACGAACGGACGACTTGACGGCTTGGGAGCAATCAGCCGTGACAAAGGGGACGAGGGAGGATCTCGGCTGCCCACGCACACAGTCGAGCCCACTGGAGCCCTAGCCACGCCCAAAGATTGGTTGTGCCTCAGGACAAGTTGGCCGCCGCCGCCCGTCAACTGGGGAAAAATATTAGCAAACATTGAACTGTTGCGCACCTAAGCGATAGCAGGGGTTCCCTGCTGCAAGTAACATTTAGACCCTGTCGGCTCCATGGCAAGGCTAGCCGGGGACCCCCTAGCCAATCACGCATTTGCGATAAGACGGGCGACACTGGGCCAATCCTGATCGGGATAGGCGATGGATGGGGCGGGAGAGAGAGGAGCTGCGCATGTGGAGGGCGGAGACGACATGAATCAGTTCGAGTTCCCAGATGGCAAAGAGCGACGGGAAACGTATAATGTACGGTATATGTGTGTGTATAGAGGTCCAGATTGCGACAGTGCATGTACGAAAGACTGGGTAAAGAGAGGATGACTTTTGCAGTGGCAGATCAAGCGATGGGATCTGGATAATAAAATTTCCCGCTCAGCCCTGAACCAACATATGTACATATTCCGTAATACAGACGACCGCAGCAGCGGAGATGCGGACCACACAGCCAAGCCATACCATGCAGATCAATTTCACAGAGACCGGGGACTCCTCAATGTGACTTGCTTAGCCTAGAATCCTTGTCTCATCACCAACGTCTCCACCTATGCGGAAGCCAATTCATCCTTTTTTTTTTTCTTTTTTTTTTATCTCATCATTGTACTCCGTATTGCAATAGTCATGGTGATTTATTTGTGAAAAGGAGAGAGCGAAGTACAAGCAGAGGCAGAGAGAGGATGGACAGCGGGCAAGTTGCTCTCTACAAAATCACTTCATCATAATGTTGACTGACTTGAGAACGGCAGCCCCTTTCATACTGGGCCGAGTCTCAAAGTCATGATGAACAGAACAGTGTGCAAAGCAATTGTACGGGGCACACCGCCACAAATGCATAGGGCGGCATTCTGCCGCATCGTCAGGGTTAACAGAGCCGCCATGTGAACCGAGTGTCGGAGTGTCGGTTGTCAAGACTCAAAACTGGTAACACAAAATGATGCGCACATGATGACGGTGATTTGTCTTTTTGACAAAGGAAACGAAGGCAGTCCATGCATGCATGCATCAATGATGCATCCATCTCCCCCCTCTTGCCCACCACCAAGCCTCCCATCTTGCCATCCAACCGCCCACCGCAGAGCCGCCTCAACACCATTTGACCATCCAAACCAGATTGAGCGGGTGAGCGGCTGGCTGTCAAGAGCCTGGCCGCTATTACGTAGTCGCCATGCCAATGCCAGGTGGCTTGCGACCACCGATCTCACAAAGGCCGCACCGCCGCCACCTTTGACCCGGGACATTTCAGTGCTTCGTTTGTTTCCCCGCCCTTGCTTGCAGAAAGGCTTCTCTTGGCGGGCAAAGCAGGGCAATCTATTAATCGTGTCTCTGCGTCTTGAGGCGAGGAGAGTCTTGTGTCAAATAATTCGAGGACAAGAGGCCAACCAACATTCGACCCACGTCGCGGACCCTCCCCTAGCCAGGGGTCCTGCTGCCCTCCTGCCCTCTCCAGCGATAATTATTGCAATGACGCTGCTGACAAGACCTGTTGAACCCACAGGCCACTGGGCGTTCTGGTTCCCCAGAGACTTGACTCGTGCATGGCGCTCAATACGTCCCTAAGCTTTGCTGTCTGGCTTTTTGTAATAGTGTGGTAATAGTGGCATTGTAGTCTGGTTGCTGTATACTCCGTGTGTACATACGTCCATGTACGTACATGGCCAACGCTAGCCGTCTTGAGTTGCACCGCTCCGCCAATTGCCGCGCTGCGATAGTCAGCTTGGGCTACTTGGTTTCCCGTCGCTCCTTCCAGATGTCACCCCTTCACACCACTACGCCCCTCCGGCCATTCACTCCCGCCCTTCTCGGTTCGGCGCATCCGACATTTCTGCTTCTCAAAAGGCAAGCCGCCCTCCCGCAACCGAGTCGTTGCTTTCCCCTTTGCGAATGCCCTCAAGTTGTGACGTGTGAGCTCCTCTGCCACCAACCAGGCAGCACAAACATTTAACTCGACCCTTTTGCCGCCACGACTTTCTGCAACAAGCACTGGCCACCAAAGACATCCAACCCCCCCCCGACGAGCCGCTCCGGACGACGGGACCCCGACACCCGTTGCGCTTCTGGTCTTGACGCACATATATTGTCGCCACGAGCACTACTACCTCGTCTCGTGTCCCCCCTGTTGCCCCCTCCTCTCGCGTCCCCGCGGCAGCATACACCATCTTTTAAACCGGCCGCCAGCCTTGGATCTCGTCGCTGCTTCACTATCGCCTACCCCCGCCGTCATGGCAGCGCAACTCATCATGCCCACGCTGCCTGGAGATCAGCCGCAGTCGCGGCACTTCCTCCCCAACCAGCACCACCGACCGCACCACGCGCGCTCCCACTCTTACCAAGTTCCCCAGGGACTTCAAATCTCGCCTCTCGACACCTCTGCCATGCCTCAGCACCAGGCCTGCTCTACGCCGCCTTCTCCCAAGCGCGGGAGACAGCACTTCCGTCAAGGTGGTCAACCCATGTACATGCCCGCCGTCCTACGACCCTGCCACGAGTTTACCTCCCGCAAGGTGACGAGATGCAAGACGGCCGGCTCTACCTCCTCAACCGACTCGGACTCGACGCTCCGCCGCGCCAATACCGCCATCATGAGTATTCCGGGCTTGTCTCTCTTTGGCCGGCGACTGTCGCGGCAGTCGACTGGCGAGACTGGCGAGACTGGCAAGACGCTGGATGGAGAGTGGAAGCTCGATGCGTTCCCCGAGGTGACGGGACAGCCTACGCGCATGCATTGGAAGGTATGTCGACGTGAAAACTCGCTCCATGTTGCTCCGTTTCTTACCAACATTCACAACGCAGCCTGACCCCGAATCCACCGTCTGCGACGACCCAACCTGCAAACGCACCTTCAACTACTTTGTCCGCCGCCACCACTGCCGCAAATGCGGCAACATCTTCTGCGACTGGCACTCCAGCGCTGTCCTGCCGCTGGACCAAAACGGCAGCTTCAACCCTCGCGCCGGTCCCTCGCGCACCTGCAATCACTGCTTCCAAGAGGTCAAGGCTCTCGTCCACACCAGGAACAACAGCCAATCTTCCAGCTCCACGGCCTCAGATGCCATGCCTCCGACGCCCATGAACGCCCCGACAGCACCTGGTGTAACGCCCCCCCACAAGCCCGAGGTGGCAGCCAGCGTTCCTCGCGACTGGAACTGGAGTACTTTTTGAATATTGAGGGAAAAAAAAGGAAAGAAGAGAAAGCTATATGCCAGAATGAAACTACAAAGACTACACTCACTCAACTCCAGTGGGCGTCCTCTGTCTACTTTTACCTCACAACCTTTTCAACATAGAAACTGTCACCAACCAGGACAATCTCGGGTTTTCTTTGGTCATTTTGAGTCCGGAAATATCCACAGGACGCTGAGTTTTTGATTTATGGCATTTGATTACAGCGCGGAGTTGGGAAATGGGTTCGCATCGCTCGACGTACTTTGAAACCAAGGGTTTCAATGCTCTCATCTGGATATTTTCTGGTTGCTCATCGTGTTTTGGTCATGTACGGACCATGCGCCAGTGCATCATCCTTTTGTTTGTTTGTTTTTCCTGGTCGGTGGTGGGAATACCCTGGATGCTGAGTACATCCTGAATTTTGGGAATGGCATAGTGCTTTTCATACTTTTAAAATCTTTTTATCATTCTAGGTGATATATCTGGTCGATGGATCGAAATGAGTGATAATTTACATTCTCATTCTCAGGAACTAGGTAATTTAATGTCCATATTGAGCTAGATTCAGGTCATACGTCAGGTTCTTATCCTAACGTGGTCCCGCGAGCAACATTTCCCAATGATAGATATGGCTTGCGCGTTTCGGCCGTGCAATGTACCCTAATCCTCGGAGCCAGGTCATGCAGTCAAATGATCCGGCCAGCAGTTTTGAATATATTTCGTCTTCATATTATCCATCGACACATCTAAAGCCCAGCCTTCTAGTCTAACATGAGGGCCATGTCAAAAAGCACATCAAAAAAAAAAAAAAAAAGAAAAGAAAAGAAATCCCGCAACCTCAATCAAAGAAACACCGCCATAACGGTCCAACGAAACCCATTTTTGGCAACAGCCCAGTACCCTGCTAAAATGACAATATGCTACCCTACTCCATCATCGTTACGTAACTGCTCGAAATGATTTGGGCCCCCCACTCCCCTCCCTATATGTACAAATATATAGCTCAAATGGGATCTTTTTATTCCCTTTCCTGCAAACACGCGCCGGCAATTCCTGAAGAGAATGTCTAGGGTATTCGAAAATGAAACAATTGGCCGTGGTCCCCGCCGCTTGCAGGAATGTGTGTGGATGCGGTTTGGAGCCGAGTGGCGGTACGCCAGAGGCTAAAATAGCCAGTTGGACCCGCCAGTTCGTGGTATCGCCTCGACTCCTCCGTCTTGTATTTTCGAGAAAATGGTGGCCTCTCTACCCACGCGGTTTACGCCTTTCTTCTAGCACGGCCGTTGGTCTTCGTGGATGCCGGCTCGTCCGCCTCCTCGATAGCCTCGATGTGACCATTGGCATGGCCGTTAACCATGTTTTCACCTCCATAGACTTCCCTCTCGATACCACGGGCAGCATCCCAGCCGGCCTTCTCGGCCAGAGTCACGTTGCTGAGACGGCGGTTGGTCTTGCCAGGAATCTTGCTATTTGCAGTGCTGCGCTTGACGTAGCTGGCAATGAAGAAGCTAACGAACAGGTAGGTCAAAGGGGCAAGGTACAAAACATTCAGCCAGATGGCAAAGGTCTCGTTAGCGGTAGAAATACAGGGCTGAGCCACATAAGAAGTCTCAGTAATGAGCGCGGATTCCTTGACAGCACCAGAGGCAACAGAGTCCAATGCAGCAGAGCCAAAGATGAACTTCTTAAGAGAGTCCAAGGCACCGGTGGCAGTGGGCATGGCAGCATCGGCGGGTGCGGCTGGCAGTTCAATCGCCTCGGTGGCGATCTTGGTGACGGTAATGGGGGCGACGTAGGTGACGAAAGAGTGCAGGATGGCATACGTGGCACCCACGATGAACTGGGTGATTTGCATAGTGGTCAGAGTTCGCTTGATAACCATGGGGACCCTGATTGAGAAAGCCGTCAGGGTGTAGTAGGTGTACATGAGAGCATGGATAAACGAGTTGACCAGAACAAATACCCAGATAGGAGCAGACATGTAGCGCATACCAGCCCACATGCAAAGCATGGCACCGGCGTGATGGTAGGTCTGCAGGGTAGAGCTGAATTTGCCCTTGGCGAGGATAATGAAGGTATCCAAGACTTCGTAAAACTTGCTCAGGTAGAAAATCCAGCCATAGTAGTTGAGTCCTTCGTTCCAAATACGCCCCATCTGTGTGCTGCTGGGCTGGCTGCCGTCTAAGCTGCCGATGAGAGAATTGGGGTCGGCGCTGTCCCAGTGAGACGAGGTGTCGTTGAAATACAAGGAGCTCCCCAAGCCAGGAGGACCATGAAGGCGGCAGAGGCTGTCGGCAGTGGCAGCAACTCAG